CAAAAACCAAAAAAAAAAAAAAAAAAAAAAAAAAGCAAAAGTCAACTATAAAAAATATCCTGGAACTATAAAGACATAAATATGTTACACATAAAAGAATGGAAAAAAATACACACTGACTGACAAAATAAAATTGAAATGTCTACATTAACATTAGACAAATTACAGTACATAGCCAAAAAAATATTAATAAGGACAAAAAGGGTCATTTCATAAGAAAAACGAGTAATTCACCAAAAGTACATATGAAGCCCTAAATGTTTATGCAACTAATAATAGAGCTTCAGAACAACGCAAAATCTGACAGACGTGCAATGTAGAAAAATCTACAATTAAAATCATACATTTTCACACCTCTCTGTCATACCTGAGAATAAAGAGAAAACTGGCAAGAATATGGAAAACTTCATCAATTAAATGGCCTGATAGCCATTCCAGTAACACTCTACTTAGCATCAATAATACATTCTTTCCAAGTACATACAAAACCTTTGCCAAAAGAGACCATATTCAGAGCCATAAAATCAGTCTCAATAAATACAAAAGGATAGATCACACAAACTGCATTCTCTGACCACAAAGAAATTAAACTGGAAATCATTAAAAGTGTCTTCAGAAAATCCTCAACTATTTGAAAATTGAGCAACATTCCTATAAAGTAACCAAAAGGTCAAGAAAGAATCAAAATGAAATTACAAAGAATTTTGAACTGAACAAAAATATAAATGCAATATGTCAGAATGTGTGAAATACCACAAAAGCATTACTTAAAGGGAGAATATACTAAAAAAAGAGAGAGAAAAATCTCAGTTTGCACCTAAGAAAGGAGAAAAAGAAAAGCAAATTAAACCCAGTATTAACAGAATACAAGAAACAATAAAAAATCAAAATGGAAACACATGAACTAGAAAGGCAACACTCTGGTGTACAGACTAAGAAACCTAAAGTGTTTGAGGCGCCATTAGAAAGTAATGTTATTTTCTTTCTCCTCATTTCTTTCAATCTATATTTTAAAAGCAATTAAAACAAATGGGGACACTGGATAAGCATGATCAGAAGAACATTATAACTTTAATTACCTCTATGGATTGAGTAATTGCTTCTATCATAAGTCATACTTTTTACATGAAATTTTTTTCAGTAATTGTTTTTCAAACTAAATTCTAAGGTACATGTCATTTTCATTGTATTACAAATTTTATTTACTTGAATTGTCAGTTCAAACATATTTCTGTAATTTTTTACCTCATAATCAACAAACTTTTTCTCAATTTGCCTTCTTTGTTATACTCTGCTTTGAAAATAAACAATACTTATCCATTAGGTAAAAATTATAGATATTAGTGAACCATTTGTATTATGTAAAATAAAATAACCACAGTTCACACCCTTTCCAAAGGGAATCAGTTCAATTTTGTTCACATTAAGTCTTCCTAAGCTATGGTCTACCTTTCAAACTACTGTTTCCTAAGTGAGAAACTTCTTTGCTGCCTTTCCTTCTTCCTTTTCTGCCTTTTTTTTTACTTTCCAAGTACTCAAGCACCTGATCAGATATTTCTTTCCAATGAAATTATGTCTAGGCTGAGGATTTAGCTCAGTGGTTCCACTGCCTGCTTCACAAGCACAAGGTCCCAAGTTCAATCCCCATTACAAGAAAGAAAGAAAGAAAGAAAGAAAGAAAGAAAGAAAGAAAGAAAGAAAGAAAGAAAGGAGGAAGGAAGGAAGGAAAGAAAGAAATTATGTCTAGTTCATCGACTTTTTAATCTCAACATCAATTAGCTAAGAAGATAAAACTGAGGAAGGTAAAATGTCTAAAGTGGTTTCCCTAATATTTCTCCAGACTTTTGCTATATGACCATTCCACACAAGATTTCCACCTAAACTGTTTTCAAAGGATAAACCATCTTGCAAGCAAATATAAATTTAATAAAATCAGAAGAATGAAGGACAAAAGCCTTTCTTCAAGTCATCACTTCTTTTGAGGAAAGAGGTTTTAGGGATATTTATATTAACACAAACTACTATATCAAATATCTACATAAAAAAAGATCCATGCCTATTAAAAGATATGAGTAAAAATGAAATATAAATATCTACAGACAACTAATCAAATTCGGAGTTTCTAATACAAACCCTTCTTCAAATACTACAAGTTATGTCTTTATAATGCCAGTTGTTTCCTTCTACCTTGCAAGAAATGTTAAGTTCCACTTAGTATTATAAGAAAAGTGGTTTGAGTCAGACCGCTATGGGTTCAAATCCAGACTCTGCACTAACTTTGCTGAACAAGTTACCTTAACCTTCCCAAGGCTATAAAATAAAGAAAATGATTAACATCTACTTTCGTATTATCAGAACTAAGTATAGAAGTATAATTACAGTAACTGCGTAACATGACATTCAAAAGTATCTACCCTCAACAATTATTTGTTCCCTTTGTTACTGAGAGTCAATTACTGAGTCACAGGAGAATCTTCCAACCAGTTCTACATTCACCATACCTAAAATCCCATGATGAATTCTCCTTCAACATTAACAACAAAAAACGTTAAAACTAAGAATGCCTGGGGCCGGGGATTTAGCTTAGCAGCACAGTACCTGCCTTGCAACTACAAAAAAAAAAAAAAAAAAAAAAAAAAAAAAAAATGCCTAAAGCTGTGCAAGTACAAGAAAGTAACCAGATCCCATCCCATCCTTCTGATGAAATCTGCTGATCTTGGCAAAGATTGTCACTCAAGATACTATGAGGACCTTGGTATGCTACAGTGTGCCACACAGCCTCAGCAACCGGTCAAGGCCCACGGGACAGCTAAACAGTGATACAAAGTAGAATATGTATCACTACCTTCATCATTTACATCCTCGGGAATTCTCCAGGTTATGAAGGATATGCCCTGGTTATGCATCTACCCCTACTATAAGGTTCTTTGCCTGTGAATGTTAAGATCCAGATTCTCCAATGGCAGGACTGTTAAATGAAGATCAAGTTTATTCAGAACAAAGTTATGATCTTAGCACAGTCCTTTGTAACAGCCCTATCAGTTACTCATACCTAAGAACCTTTCCTTTGAAACCTCCTACCTGTGTTACCTTTTGGTAAGGCTGACACAAGTGACTTCATTTACTTTTACAACTCTTGTGTTTTCCCTATATTCCCCCTTGTCCTTA